TCGATTAATATGTGGGAAAATTTTGAAAATCAGGTTTAAAATATACTTCTTACAAAGTCCCCCTATAATTAATCAAAGAAAATAAAATTCCTGCAAAAAAATATTCCTGAATCTATCGTTGGTTGTCTCGTGTAAATTAAAATTTAAGCAACAATTTCTATTTTACAAGACGCTACCCTTATCATAAGAGAAACTTTTTAATATACAATAGGGCATTATGTATATTAAAAAATATAAATAGTATTTCTTTAAATTTCTTACCTCTTGCAAATTAAAATATAATTAACTTAGTTTCTTTCAAAATTTGTTGGCCTATGCATCATCCTCAAAAAATAAAATATATAATATAATAAAATTCTATATTATACTGCATGTAATAAGATTATTTATAAATTACAATTATGGCCAAAAGTAAAAATAAATAAATATGTATATATTAAATAATTATTTTAAATTAAGCAAATAGCATAACCAGTATTATAGTATTTTTTCTTGTCCTATATATAAACAACTTTTAACTATTCCCTCATCTTTATATATAATGTGTGTTTTTTTAAAAAATTATTCTTCCCTAAATATAAGGGGTGCCATGATAATGTTGAGTAATTAAATAATTTCACCCTTATTGTCTTGAGAAAGGGGAAGAGATATTAATTATGGGTTTTTACCCACCTTCATGATATCAATTATGATATTATTAAGGGCAAAATTAAAAAATATTATGATTTTATGTGTTTTTAACTAAATATCAAACTTTTATTGATATGCATAATTTAGTTAAAAATATCTTATATTTTCTCTATTAAAAAATATAAGTTACTTTTTTGACAATTTAAATGTTAAAAAATATAAAGAATTTTTAATGTTTCAAGATGTAATAAATGTGCTTTTATCAAACGTGTCCCTAATAAATAAGTCACTTTTTATTTATTTTAAAGTAAAATAATTTATTAAATAAAGGTAAATATGAAAAAATTGTGTTAGTTGGGAGACAACTAACTATTTTATTGAGATGTAATTTATTTAAAATATCTTATATTTTTTAACAAATAAAGTATATAAAGATGGAGGGAGTATCTCACTGTAATTAAAGAGACATAGTTAAATAATCAGTTTTGTTGGAAAAAGAAAAAAAAAATCAAGTTTCCTTTATTAAGTACATTATATTTACAAGATAATTTCTTTTTGATATGTAACTTTTCCCTCTATTTATAGGGAAAAATATTAAAGGATAAAGTTGAAAAAAATTACTAATGATCCATTTTTCATGCAAAAACACTTATCAAATAGACCATCAATTATTTATAGAATATGATTCCTGTATAGAATTGATGGTAGTACCATTATCAACTATATGTATCACAACAAGAAAAAATAGCAATTAAGTTAAACAAAGTTTAAGAAGTGCACATGAAAAATAAGTTTTGTTTAAAAAGTTGTTATTTTATGTCTTCAAAGTGGTGCCCTCAATAGCCAATCAAATTAATTTGGGTCAAAGACTTGAAACACCAAAGCACATGCAAGAAATTAAAATTATATTTTATAAATTGAAAATTTAAAATTTATGCTTTACCTACCTCAAAATAAAATTTAAATAACACATTGTCTTATTTTAAAATTTTTTATGTAGTAAATATTGAAAACATAAGTAACATACCTCATAAATATTAAAAATATCTATATAAAAAAATTTCTCACCCTATTTATGTTAAAATCATAAAGAATAATTTATTATTCTAAGATGTTTTATTCACTCATAAATCAAATTTTAAATAATAAACAATTTTATTTTTGTAAATTATTATTTAGCTTTGTATTTATTCTAATATTTATTATCCTATACATATAAAATATACAATCAATAGGTGATGGGTCTTTTATAATATAATTACTTAATTATTACACACACACACAAAATACAAATAACTAATAATAAGTAGATGTCCTACCTCTACAAAAAATGTTAAATCTTGTATTATTTTTTATTATGAGTCCATATCTATAAATATTTTTTTATCATATGGATCCTATCCTTTTTTTTTTGAAAATCACATTGCAGGCCATAAAAAAATTGCACTTTGAGCCTAATAAACTTTAATAATGCACTGCAAGCCCAATGACTTTTGTTATAATTTTTCTTTGGAGCAAAAGCACAATTTTGCCCTTGTGTGAATTAAAAACTCAAAGCCTATGTGAAATCCTCATCCACAAAGGATAACATAATACTCATGAATTCTCAACATTATGTTTATAAATTCTCAACATAATATCAACGCATATTAAATTTATATATAAGTTAATTAAAATATACAAATCACACAAAGTATTTACAATACAATATCCATTATTTCACAATACGATATTTATGCATTCTCAACACGATATTCATGAACTCTCAACCTAATGTCCATATGTGTCCAATTGATTAGTAGATTTAATAAAATATATAAGTTACACTAACAATGTACAACACAATGTCCATAGATGCACATCATGATGTCCATGCATTCTTAACTAAATGTCCATGCATGTCAAGTTGATTAGTAGGTTTAATAAAATATACAAGTTATACAGATAATGTACAACATAATGTCCATAAAAGCACAACATAATATTCATGAATTTTCAATACAATGTCCAAGCATGTCCAGTTGATCTGTAAGTTAATTAAAATAAAGTCATATAAAGTATGTATAACACAATGTTCATGGGTGCGCAACATGATATGCATGGATTCTAACACACAATATTCATGAATTCTTAGCATAATGTCCATGCATGTCCAGTTGATCAATAGGTTTAATACAAGTTATGCAGGCAATGCACAACATAATGTGCACATACATTCTCAACTAAATGTCTAATGTTCATGCATTCTCAACTAAATGTCCACATGTCTCAAGTTAATCATCCCACTACTTTCAGTCCATTTCTTTCATTTTGATTAAGGGCAAAATTATACTTTCACTCCTAAGAAAAATTGCATATTTCAATTAACTTATAAATCAACTAGATATGCATGAATATTGTGTTGAGAATTTATGAACATTATATTGACAATTCATGAACATTATGTTGTGTTTTATGGATGAGCGTTTCACACAAATTCTAAGTTTTCAAGTCACAAAAGGACAAAATTATACTTTCATCCTAAGAAAAGTTGCAACAAGGCCCTTGGTCTTGTGTGTATTATCAAACTTTTTTAGGCTTATAGTGCAGTTTTCTTTTTTAGGCCTTGTAGTGTGATTCTCCCTATTTTTTTATTATGGGTCTCACAAGGATTTTTTGTTTAAAAAAATCATGGTTACTAATGCACTCTACGCGCGCGCACAAATAGGAGAAGGGCTCCCTTTTTTCCCTCCATTTTCTCAATCTTTACCATTCAAATTATTTTATTAAATATTTTTTAATTATATAATTAATGAATGGTGAGGATTGGAAAAATGGAAGGAAAAAAAATGAATAAACTCCTTCCCCCACATACAGAGACTTGGAGGGAAGCTTTTGATTTTAACTATCTTATGCTCATAGTTCCTAATAAAAGGCTTTCGGCTTCTCTCGCGTGTTACTTTTTTTTTTTTTGGGTATAAGCATTTGATATTCGAAGTTGATAGTCTCAATTAATCTAAATTCGAGCACTATGAGGCCTCAAATGGAGTGGCTCTCCCAAGCATATGTTCTTCATTCCTATCACCTCAAGGATCGAATCCAAGAATTGATAGTTAAGAAAACTCATACCCCTTGTTATTTGAGCCTACACGCATTGGTTCATGTGTTACTGTTCATGTAGCTCAAAAATCATTCCATCTGAATTGGGCTGTGTACTGTGATTTGATTTTAGCTTTAGAAAATTGTTTCTTTGAAGAATTTTAATAGAAACCACTTGACCATATTTACTTAAATTTAAAGCCCTAAATTTTTGAAATTTTATTACAGTCTAGGAATACTGATTTAATATTAAATTTATGAGAAAAATGACAAAATTTTCCTTAATTGAAATTAATATAAGAACTATCATACTTTACTTGTTAATTACCTTATTTCATTTGTTCATTTATTCACAGAGTATTGTTAATTGCCTTATTTCACTTTTTCATTTCCCTAGAATAAAATCGAGTGAAAGTTTGGTAATGAATATGTGAAGTAGGAAAATTAATAAGTGAAGTAGGGAATGAACAATAATTCATAAGTGAATGAACAACATATAATATATGAATCAATAATTTATCTTAAAGTAATTTAAGTATCTAAAATAAAAACAAGTTAAATAAAGCAATTAATAATATTTTATAAGTAAATTAGCAAGCGAAGCAAATCAATAAACAAGTAAAATAGTAAAATTTTGATATTAATTTAATTGAGAGATAATTTTTTCATTTAACTTAAAAATTTAATATTAAATTAGTATATTTGAATTGCATAGTTATTTTAAAAATTTGAACATTTAAAATTTAAATAAAATATAGTCAATGAGTTTTTCTTCAAACTCTCTCTTTTCTTCTTCTCTCTCTTAAATTTCAGAACTCTCTTTTTTTTTTAAAGATGAAAATATTCTTGAGCTCCCTTCACTTCATAGTTTATTTCCATCAAGACGGACTCCAAGAAAGCCCTTGGCTCCTGCTTTACCAGTAGTTAACACTTAACAGATCTAATAAGGTCCAAGCCTAGATTAATACAAACATCAGGAAACTCGTCAAAAACAGCAAGACACTCCTCCTCCATGTGACCTGTCTTGGCCAAGAAGTTGGCGACCTGCAGACATTCCTTACGGGCTCAATATTCAAAATTCTTTCCTGCGGCCGTCGAGCTCAGAAGCATTCTCCATCGTCATCGTAGACTTGTGGCGTCTGCAACTCGAGCTTCTTGGCATTAACAACTTTAGTAAATAGTCTGGCTTTTAATGTTAACAACTTCTCGCCATCCTCCTCACGCAAATAAAATTTTTCCATGACATCTTTGGGTTATGCTCAGTTTTTTGATAAGTTCTGTGAATTTGCTAGATTTTGTGCCACCTATGCGAATACTGTACTCAACATTGAAACCTTACGAATATGGGTTCCGTGTGTTCTTGATCACATACTGTTTCATCACTGTATCAGGTTATCACACCGGCGAATTTATTCAAACAGCTATAAGTAGGTTTTTGCTCATTGTCCTGGGTGTTGGTGTTTCATTGGGGGTAAATGTGTGAATATATCCAATCTGGGCTGATGAGGATCAGCATAATCTGGTGGCTAAAAATTTCTTTGGTGTTACAACATCTCTGGAAGGTTGTCCACAACATTTCCTTGATTACCCAGAAAGTTTGATTACTGTACAGCTGGGGACATAAAAATGAAAGACTACAATGCATATAAATCCTTTTCTGATCAATGGCCTCTGACTACAATGCAACCAAGATTCATGGAGAAAGGGAGGTCATTTATATTCTGCGTAAAGTTTGTTAGTATAATTTTTTTGGTTAGGAAAATTTCTGGGCAGCAGAATGGTTGTCTGACTATATGCTACATCCTTTTCTGATCACGGAAAAGCAAAAGAGCAGCAGAACTAACATGCATACTATGTGTTCGACAGATTGCAGAAGGTTCCAGAAATTTTCTTCCAACTTTCATGCTAAAACCGTTGGCTTCTAAAGAAAGAGTCACAGGCTGGAGATATTGGGGATAAAAACAAATGAGCTTTTATGATGGATCTTTTAAAATAATTCTAATATACTTCTTCTCATATGAAAATACTTAAAACTTGCTTTGTTATTTCTATTTTTCAGGAATCTGATCAGGGTTGTTGGAGTTACTTGACTACTACGCTTCATGTCTTATTCATATTGTATCCTTAAACCTTTCTTACCCGGTTGTGATGCCTCATGGCTTAATGCCAATTGAGCTTCACGAGGCATACTTCCTAGCACTTATCTCTCCTTACTCAGGTCATCAGCTGTCAAATCTCAGATAGATTGATATGAAACTAATAAAAGTCTATGTTATTTAGGTGCTTATTGGTTGTTGAGGGTAGTTAAGTCCTTTTGCCTCTATTCTAATGTTGCTTCTTAACATTTCCCAAATCCTATAAACATCAGGATTTCTCCCTCAATTGTAGCTAGCCTATTGACATAATGAAAACGTACTATTCAGATTAATCCCTGACTCTCTCCTCTGGTTTCCCTGTGGTTCTCTCTATTCTCTTCTAGATTCTCTTCCTTGCTTCTCTATTCTATTATATTCTACTTCTCTATTAGACTATCTTTTCTAAACTCCATATCATAAAAACACTGGCATAGGACTCATTGTAGTCTTTGTGCCACCGGAATAAGCAAAATTTATCGACATTAGCATGGCGTCTGAGTCATGGGAAGTAGATATTGAGCTCAATCTCTACTTCTCATGACTCAAATTTTCATTCTACTCTGTTCTGGCTGTGATGCCTAATAATATTTACCTAGCTGAAAGGGAGGTCATCACTGTCTTCTTGCCTACTTATGATGACCTCCTGTTCACCTACTGGGGAAGATAGTAATTTGTTTGGTTTCAATCTTTTTCTCAATTTCTTCTTAGCACAATTTTTCATTCATCCCATTTAAATTTTCTTTGGAGTAATACATTGAAGTTTTTAAATCAATTAATTACTTTTTCTCAATTTCTTCTTTATTCTAAATCTAAGTCTCAGGAACTTGCTGCTATCAATAGCTGTCATTGGAAGACACGAACCAGAGGTTTGATTTGTTTTGGTAAAAGCCTTGCAGACAACGAAGCTCATTTATTTTGGCGGCCAAGAAGAGAGTAGAATGAAGATCTGTAGCGGTTTATGTTGGCATCCATTTGTTTGTGCCTGAAAATATATGTTGAAATAAACCTGCTACCCAGATATTCTCGACAAGAGCACTATACAGGCATCTCTCAGTCTCAAGGAATAGACAATGGTCTGATTCTAGAGTGCCGTATATAAGAAATGGTATAATTAAATTTATCGTCGAGCTGTTGGACTAAAATAGTTCATATCCAATGTGATTACCGACCTATTCAATAACCTGGCATATGTAGATTCTGAAATATCAAAGTTTATAACTCTAGCTCTGAGAATTGTTGAAACTAATTGTTTTGGTTGTTGACAGTGGTTGTGGAGATAGTGAACAAATCCTACTCAATTGATCCTGCTCTACTTAAAGTTGAGGTATCAAATCATTTTCTTCACCTTTTCAGGTAAAAAAATATATGGTGTACATGAAGTTAAACACCATAAGTATGTTCAAAAAGAGATTGTGAAACAGGTAAAAGGCCCTGGTTAAAAAAAAAAGGAACAAGTAAAATGCTTGGTGTTTGTCATGTGAAAAGGATAGAAACCCGTTCTGTATATTTCTAATGGTAAAATACTCACTGTTGCATTTTTTTTTACCTACACTGTTACTTCTTGTTGAAGATGGGGTTTGCTGTCTGGGGGCCACCTCATGGTCATTACAAGATGCATAGATGTCCATGGAAGAATTATGTGGAAGTTAGTGGAGCACCGAGGCACTGTGCGTTTATGGTTATGGCTTTGCATTAACGTATACTTTCTTTTGTATGCTTATTCTTTCTGTGATTTCTCTATTGAAGTATATATGCAGGTACTTCAAATGTCAGGGCTTCTAAAGAGGATATGGTTAAATGGGTTTTTTTTTTCAATTATTGAAAAAAATGAAATATATTTTTATTGCATACTTTTGAAGTTGGGATAGAATTTTTTGAGCTGGTATTTATCATATAGTGAAACAAATAAATGTGAACTGATTAGACACATACACACATAAAAACACGCGCAAGAATGCACTTTGTTATTGATGAACAAAGGGGAGAAAGATGATGGAGATTCTAGGGGGCAGAGAAAATTTTCATGGGAAGACAAAGAAAATTATAAAATAGAAGGGTGGAGGCGGGGGAGGGGGGAACATTGGCTAAATCAGATTTGGATTTTCCACAAATATAGAAGCCAAGTGAACAAAAGGATGAGGTGGTCCTTAAACCACCAAATTTGTGCGCTCTTGTATTGGTGCGAGAAGCTTCACATGATAGCTATTGTTGGCCAATGTCCTGAAAGTATTTTTCCACTATTATTTTATAATATTTATAAACATAAAATAAGTTCAATTGCAGTGGCTTCAGTTCTTTGATGAACTCAAAAAATTGAGGAGAAATTGCTAACTTTTTCTTTCACTTTTTGAGCGTTATAATCTTTTGATTTTAGATTTGTAATCATTTTATAATCATGGTTTAGGATGTATTCCTCTCTAATTTTTATTTTTGGTTCTTCTTATTATCTGTGTCTTCCATTCCTCGCTGTCATTGCTAACTTTTACTTGACTTATTGATGTTTCTTCCATTTCCTCATGATTCTAATTGATGCTTCTTATGTGAATGGTACAAAAATTATCCCAATCTGCCATCTCCATGAGTCTATAAGAGAGGTGGAGAGCATGGTCTTCTAGCATTTATGAATTTTATGTTATAGTACAAAGGTTATGTACAGGGTAGGTAGGATTAGGGTTGTGCAAAAAAACCTCAAACCCAGTCTGTTTGGTTTGATCCGGTCCTAAAAAATTCAACCCGAACAGAAGACTGGATTGAACAGGTTAGACTGCACATACAGGTCAGACCAAACTAGAGACTGCTCTTTTGGACCAATTAGTCTGGCCCGGTCTAGGTTATTTTTTTAATATTAAATATTAAATAATTATATTATTTACAAAAAGAAATCTTACTCACCTGAGTTCAGTAACTATACCCTCACGCCTCATGTGCATGCCTCAGACTCGGTCTCTAAACTCTGAAATCTGATAACCTCATTTGTCATTTCTCTATTTCTCCATAGGGTAATTTAAACAAAAATAAAATACAGGAGACAAAAAATAAAATCTTACATTTATAATTAAAACAAATCTCTAACTAGCTCTTCGACACTTGCAAGAATAAAAAAAAAGCAACAGTAATATTTACAGGTATTGAATAATGTGACACCTTTTTTGTACTTCATGTAATACGTGAGAAAGATGATTATTTATACTCTAAAAAATTGACAGAAACATAATTAATCTCATAACAAGGACCATGTGTAATTAAATAGTGCTCACTTTGAAACTCAATTGGTAATAAACCTATGATATTGATTCAAGTGAATAGGAAAGGGGATATGAGGGCTTTTTTCTTTTTGGAGAGAGTTGGATTCAAGAAACTGAACTGGTCTAGTAACCCGGTAGATCAAGTCCAACCTGGTCTAAGTCTTGAGTCCAACAAGACTATACCAGTCCTTGGACTGAAAATTCTAACTCGATCTTCATTCAAACTAGACTTTAGATTGACATCCAATTCGATCTAGTATGGTATTTGTGCAGCCCTAGGTAAGATCTGTTCTCTATCCAGTCTATATGCAAAGCAAGAGGAGTCTGAAGTTTAGATGATATCAATCTCATGATTCAATTATTGTGTTAAAGCAAGCTAACCAGCGGTGTGGGCGTTTTGATGAATTATTGCTTTTTGACTTTTTTCTATTATCAAACTTTTGTTTGTTTGTGTATATTGACCAATGGGTAAGCTAGAGCCGGGAAAACGGGTTGAGCCCGCGGGCTAGCCCGTTTAACTCGCACAATTTGACGGGTTGGGTTGAAAAAATTGGCCCGTTTTTTAAAATGGGCTGGGTTAGCCCAACCCGTAAAAAAGCGGATTAAAACGGGCTAGCCCGTGGGCTAGCAATATTTTTAAAAAAAATTTTTTATTTTTAAATTATATTATATCTTTTTATAAATTTACAATAATGATAATATCTCTTAAATATATAATTTATGACTTTTAAATCTGTTCTTTATATTTAAAATATAGTGTAAATTCTTTTTACAATTTGCAAATAAAATTTTTGTTATAGTTTATGAAGATGATTTATTAGTTTTTATAGAAATATTTTGAATATATATTATTTATTAATCTCATAAATTCTATTGATTGAAATTATAAATATGAATTCACTAAGAAAAATAATATGAGTTTATATTCAAATTTTCTTTATTAGTGACAAAAATAGCATACCTAGGTGAGAAAATGATTAATAATAAAAATCTAGCAAAATGAATTTGCTTGGTTGAATTCTATATTTATTTTATTTATTTACAAGTTTTTTAATTTCTAATTTGCTTTAAAATATGAAATAAATAAATATATATATATATATATATATTATATTGTATAAATTTTAAATTATTAAAAAAATTTGATAATTTTTTGCGGGCTGGCCCGCAGGCTAACTAGCCTGCTAAAAAATGGATTGGGTTGGATTTTTCAGCCTGTTTTATCTGGCTGGCTCAACTCAACCTGCAAAACTGCCAGCCAGCACGGGCTAGCCTGTATGTTGACCCGCAATCCGTTTGTCCAATACTAAAGTAAGTGTTGTGTAAAATCATTAACCTTTTTGGTAGTTTAACATGTCTTTCAAGATTCAAAAAGTGGGGGAAGCAAAGTCTAGTATTGCTTTTTGCATTTTGATTCTGTCGGTGCATTTTATGAGGCAATCATTGAGAATTAGTTAACTATTTTTTTTTAATCTTTGTCTATTTGGTATTACATGATGTATGATTAAAAAATCTTCATTACATATTACATGAGTTTGCCCTTTTTCCTATTGCGTCAATGCCTGAGTAGTATAGGGAAAGTGTGATATTGATTGCAGTATATTTCTTTGTCAGAAATTATTCCAGAGATCATGAAATGGTGATTTCTGGAGTTCTGACATTTGATTAGCCACATGCACACATAAAAACACCGTGCTGAATAGTATAAAATCAATCACAGATTTTCTCCAGCTGTAAATATATTTTGCCTATCTAAAAATGATGTAGTCAGTCCTTTTTGTAGGACAATTTTTTGTATTTGTGTCGTTAAAGACTTTTAGATATTTTCATGATAGGTATTTGGTAGGGTAGCTGTACTTACTTTTTTGTTGTATGTGATGTCTGACTTATGTGATTTAGTGTGAGAGATTTTATCATCCTTCCTTAGCCCTGTCTATTTGATGCTTGTGTTTATTTCTTAGTTTGCTTTTCCAAAATATATCCATAATGTAGCTGACTCTAGTATGTTTTTTGAGTTGTAATAATTTATGGGATTGTCAGTTAGACGGGATGACCCTTGATTAAAGGTTGTCAAACATCAATTCTGTTTCGAATTTTGAAAAATGGTGCTGTTCATCTAGCATGCTTTATGATGTGAAATGCTATGTCTCTCCCTTTATTTTTTTTTGGTCTGTTGTTTAGACAGTTGTGCCATTAAGTAAATCTGCCCTTCCCACTATGTGCTGATTTTTTGTTTGTCTGAGAACTCTTTATAAATACTACATGAGGGTTGGAAAAGTCTCATGCAACAGTACAAGACCTATAGTCCAATTTTAGATGATTTCCTTGAAAAAAACAGTTAATGTAGTCTGTCGCCCAATTATGATTGCGGAAACCAAGATGGGGCTCTCCAAACTTGACCTAGAAATCCAAGGTGCTAATTTTGAGATTAAGCATGAATGCTCCTCTCTTCTGCAACAATTACAGTATGATGGAGTTAAGGTTATGAACTGCACAGTCACGTATTGATAGAGGAAGAAGAGAAAGAGGGGTAGAGAGGAGAGGCAAAATAAGAGTTGAGAGAAAAAAAAGACTAATTCCATTCATAATGACAACCCATTACACTTTAGAGACTTATTTATAGAGAACATATTAAATGCTGAAACTACCCTTATATTCCTAATATTTCTAAATCCCATATATCAATACTCCCCCCAACAAGAGATCCTTGTCCTCAAGGATCAATACAAAAGCAGGAAAATATATATCTAAAATAAAACTTAGCTAAAATATATATGTGTGTGTGTTTTGTTGACCTTACATTGCTAAAACTTGTAAAATAAAATAATTTGAGAACAAAATTAATGGACATCAAAAGCCCAAACATGCTACAGTGCTTTGTTAATCCATAAGCCCATCATGACAAGCCACACAAACTTGCGAGGGGCCCGTTGTTGAAGGTCGAGATTGAGAACACCGCATGGCTGCACCTTCACGACCCAATCCCATATAAAGGCTTTTGGGCTCATAATATACTTGAGAAGCCTAATTTCATCAATGAAATGACAAGCAGTGTTGTGGTCAAGCACGTTGTGAATTGCTCCAGCCCACTCCCACGTGAAATGCACACAGCTGGGGGGGGGGATTGAGTAAATTCCAACAAAAACCCTGATTCCATGATCCATTGCAAAGCTCCGCCCGACCCGTCTGAGAAGTTTCCCTGCATCGTATTCGGACTCTCATATGCGTTCCCACCAATCAGAGTCCTCAAAATGGGTTCCGCCGAGATCATCCCTTAGAGCTCTGCCATCATATAGTAGGTCAAAACTTTGTACGGCTCTTCACATCTCGCCCCTGTTCTCTCTCCCTCTAACAAGCAGCCTAAACTGGTTGATTTCTTGGGGGTTGACGACACCATTTCTTTTGCCGACATAGGCATTATTGCCGCTGCGCCGGAAGTGCAGGAGGAGAA